AAAACACTGGGGTTTTGCTGTAATGGAAGGAAAGGGGTGCATTGCTAGGTGTAGAGAACCACAAAAGCCTTAGGTGAGAGTGTCAAGAATAGATGAAATTCTGAGTGAATTTGTATTGTATGACATGGGGTACAACCATGTCAAAGACCAATTCCTCAGACTCATGGGAAAGGCAAAGCCTCCACCCCTAGTCTGAGCCTTAGAGGGTTGGTAAAGCTTTCTTCCTGGCCAAATGCAAATGATGAAAGTATATACAAGTAGTCCAACTGATCAGTGTGGGTAAAAAGTAGCAATATAACTTCTGGAAGTTTATGCCCTGAGATTGGTTACCTAATAAGATTTCCTACCGACACTAGTTATATTCTCCCTCTATGTTCTACATAGTAAACACGCTGAGGTTCCAGGTTGCTGAGTAGTTGGGGCTGTTCTTTCAGAATGTGCATAGTTTGGCTAACTTAGCTTTTCTGTATGCGTATCTGCCCTTTATCATTCACTTTTTGCTCTTTGTCATGTTTCCAAGCCATACAATGCTGGATGTGGCAGCTAGGGACATTGACCTATTGGGAAACATTTAAAGTGATCATTTTATTTTTTGTTGCCATCTTCAATATTATTTTTTATCTAAATAGCTTTAGATTTTATTTCCTATGTATTTTTTTTAGTCAGCGGTGGATTTAGTGTTAGAGTTTATTGGACATAAAGGCCATAGTTACTCTGCATATCTTTGTATGCTCAAGGAAAATATAGAATCCAGTTTTCCATGTAGCCAAGTATGCAAATGACTATTAAACAGCCTGAGTGATGAGTTTATTTAAATGTGAGAATATGACATATTTGGCTACAGGCTTTTGAAAGTCATATGAATGGAAGCACTCTAACTCAGTTTTCTAGAAAAAGCAAAATCTGCCACAGTTAAGAGTATCTATGTCAAGGCAGACTGAGTATTTTGGGAAGCAGCATTTCCTTCCTGCCTTTTGCCAGGAAGACAGACAGTAGACCTGGTGTGCACAATGACACAAACACTGGTTTTCTTCTACAATTATCGAGTATGAGTTTTTGCTTGCAAGAAGGGATCTTCTGAGAAGGGCAGCAATCAGAATTAATGGCGATTGCTTCTGTCTCCTCTTAAAGCAGTTTGAGTAGATGAGACAAAGTCAGTGAGCTTGTTGGGGACTCTGTGCGGAGATGGAGTGAGATACAAGCTGAGTTTGCAGAACCATCTATGAGGAGGTCATAGCCTTGGAGATGACAGACTTAGAGACCTGAACAGGTGCTAAGTGACTTGTATCACCAGAGAGAGAGAGAGAGAGGAGTTGTGAACTACAGACAGGTTAGGTGGGTGGTTTCTATTGTTGGTCCTGAAATTCACCAGCCTTGCTAACTATGGCTTGTCTCTCCTTTCTAAGAAGGCCACGTCTGCTCTTCTTTCCTCAGTGAGTGACTCTGTGAGAAAAGATGAAGATGAGTGACTTTTTGAAAGTACTCTATTTGTTGGAAATGTGCTATGTAGGATTAAACCATTGCTGTTAGCAGTAGGCCATGGCCACTCCACCCCTGCCATGACAGGGATAATAATTGTCCTGGAAACCCCCAGTGTTCCTTAGACTCTTCATAGTGACATAAGCCCTCAGAGAGATGGTACCTTTTCCTTGTATTGCTTTCTTTGGTTTGAATAATCCTAGCTCTAAATGGACCTTTACATATGGACCCAGGATCTGATGCCACCAGAGCATTGCCTTCTTTTTGGGTGGGAGCTCATTGCCTCCAATGTGTGAACAGGGTCCTCTTGCCTCTGGATTTAGAAGACAAGTCTCTTGTTTCCCAATGAGTTCACTGACTGCAAAGACTAGACAGGGGAGAAAATGGGTTTTGAAGACAGTCTCAAAGATAGTCATGTCTTTGTTTCCTAGTGTTTTGTCGTGAGTAGTTGTGCATTTGTTCATGGTTGGGTACCAGGGACATAATTGTTGACCTAGTTGAAGTACTTTGAATAGTTCTTTCAATTTCCTTTTAGAATCTTGCCCTGTCTTCTCTCCCTCACTGCAGAGCCTGTTAATTTGAGCTTTCTCACTTTCCCAGAACTTCTCATTGGGATGACCAGCTTCTTCCTGTAGAAACTTCTGTCATGATGGAAGTATTCCAGATATTCTCCTGCCCAATAAGATGACCACTAAGCATATGCAGCTATTGAATATTGGGAATGGATTCAATATAAGTGAGGAATTGAATTTTTAATATTTAATTTCAACAGACATACATTTAAGTTGATATCTGGGGCTAGCGGCATGGTAAACAAGGGTCAGTGCACTTAATTCCTCTGCTACAATCAAAACTAGTCTCCCTTGAGTTCCAAATCCATAGCCCTGACAGATGGGCAAGAAAGTCCATATCATAAGCAAATATTTAGGCATAAGTTAAGGTATTAATCCTTATAGGCAACACTCCAGATCTTTCTGCTAGATCTTCTGTTGGAGAGTGAACCCACAGTATCACACATACTAAGCAAGAAATCTATCAGAGAACTACATATCTATATGCCAAGATTAGCACACAGATTTTGCATGACACCATGTTTTAGTCAAAGTAGAAGCCCAACTGGCAAGAATTGGGGGATGGTGGCAGAAAAATCTGATGTGTACAAAGATAATGGGTAAAGACCTTTAGATGCACATCAAAAGACGCTTAGTGGATGGCAAATCCTCCCCATTGCTCTTGGATGATTCTAAGTGTCTTTATATCTCACAAATCTGTCAAGATCCAAAGTCAGAAGTGCATGAACAGGAGCTACAAAGAATTGGAATGGGCAGAACATAGAAGATACCAGAGTTCTTGTAAAAGGATGAAAGGTGCCAGGTAGGGCGGTGCTTTGCTTTGCCATGCTCTGAAGTGATTACAACCAGTGGAACATAATTGAAAAGCAGGAGACCAGAAAGCAGCTTACAGACCTTACAATGGATTGTGGCATTTTTGTCAGGGTGTTAGTCAGGAGTTGAAGTTCTGGTCTTAATTTGAATCCCAACTTTTCAGGGAACCGTTGGTTCCTGGATGTTCTTCTTATGTTGAAACTGGGCTGTGTTGCTGTATGTCTTGGCTTGTCTTAACTGCCTTCAAGTTTCTGCCTGTGTTTTCACGGATATTCACTGGCATCAGGATAATCCTTGCATACCATATGCAGGTTGGGTAAGGGTGGAGGACATGGGACTAGGATGGATGCTATGGAAGAGGGATGAAAGGCCCCAAGGGTACTTAGAGATGAGCAAGCAGAATGAATACCTATGTGTGTGAACTGGGATGTGATATTGGGGCCCCAATATCCTGTTGCAACCACGGGAACATCTGTTACCAACACTTCACCTGCTGTGTACTGTTTGGAGTGGAAAAGATGAATTTTAGTAAAGGATCTATGCCTTTATGCTTAAAAGATTTGAAAAGTTAGTCAGATGTAATTTTTTTAACACAAATATGTGGTTAATAAGTAAGTACACATAAAAGTTAAAAAGAGTAAGTTGCAGGCAAATCTCTCTTGTGTTTGTGATACAATTCAGACTCCAGTTTTCTGTGCTTTCTAACACACTTGGCAAAAGATTACTAAGGAATTTGACATAAAGCTTTTGATTCTCAATCTATCCTTCAAGTACCATGTGAACTCAGGGGCAGAAGCCAAGAAAGAAGGAAGAAATGCATAGAACTCTTGCTGGATTGAGCCACCAGTCCTTATGTTAATGGATTGTCCAGAGAATGATATTAATGACACAGAGATCTCTTGTACCCAGTGTCTGAATGACTATGGCATCCATTTTTTAGGCTTTTCCTGTGTCTTCTGTACTTTATATACACTCTGTACACTATGAATTTCAGTCTATTAAAATGAAAAGACAGAAGGTCCTGCCAGGGCTTACGTACTTAGACAAGTGGTTTTTGATAGAAGGGATTTTGTTCCACTTAGGAGACATCTGGCAGAGTCTGAATGGTTTTTTCCTTCCCTGGACCCTAAGCAATGTCTAAATACTGTTGGTTGTTGAAGCTGGGTTTGGAGTGGTATTCTATTCCGATGTTGCTGACTATACTACCAGAGAGCAATCTTTGTGATGAAAAGATCTTTGACTCAGAAGGTCTTGACAATCTTTGAGCTTCCTTGGTCCATGGGATAGGCCAGCCTTCACTGGAGTGAGAGATGGCCTTTAAAGGAGAGTCACCATTTTACCAATCACAAGGTGGCTCAAAGAAATTGTAGAAATGTTTCGCTTAGATTTTTCTTCAGCTAGTAACTTAGTCAGTTTCCTATCTTAATGAGTTTTTCACTTTCTTTGGAAGCGTAGGAAAGCAAGGTCTCAAAGAACAAAAGCAAGGTCTCAAAGAACAAAAGCAATCTGCTATTCTACCTTCTTAAGTAGCTTAGATCTTTGACTGTGGCGAATTCAGAGGCAATCTTTGTGGGTGATTTCTCCATGGCCTATTTGCTGGTAGGTGCTGGCTTCTAGAGCTTCTTTGTTATTAGTAGATGGAGAAAATTGAGAGCTCACCATGTATGAGCATTGTCATATAGGCTGGCACAGATCAGGTTCAAGTAGTGACAATATTAAAGAGGCTGAGGAAAGTCTCAGAGAGTAGTGAGAGAATAGGTATTGAACTGGTTGGAAAAATAAACGCAGATGCAATATTTCTCTTTCTGATCATAAAAGTAACCGAGACATTTTAAAAAAATTCTCCCAAGTACAGAAAAGTATAAAGAAGAAATAAAAATCTCCTAATTGCATTGCTAGGGGATAACAACCACGAAAAGCTTTTGAGAAAAACGAGGAGATGAGCATCAGATTTTTGAAACAATCAGCTAAGGAGACTGAAGATCTTTTTTTTGAGGATAGTGGACTACTCAATGTGCACATTGATGGTTTGAGATGATGTTCTTTGACAATCAAGAAAGCTGAGTCCCTGCCCTTGTCTGGATGAGATGGACAATGAAAGGTAATCATATGGGCACTTGATCAAGCCCTCCTTACCTTCAGGGTTCATGTGCAAAATATCTGCGGTGCTCACCTTCACAGATAAGTGTCCTTTAGCTGAAAGAGAAGATGACTCATTTTAGCTCAAACAGGACAAAGCAGGAGATGTCATTTCTAGCTTCCTGTGCCACATAGCATAGCTGAGCACCCTTACTTAGAAGAGCTGGACTTACTTGTTTTGGCAACTTCATTATGAAGTCATATCAATCTTAGAAAAGAGTTGCAAAAATAAATCCCATATATTACACACAAAGACCATAATTATTAATATGTCATTCATCATCTTATGTCGTTCATGTACCAAAAATTACATTTTCCCCAAGTCATCAGAGAATAAGTCATAGTCATCATTCCTCTTTTGTCCCTAATTATTTGAGTTTATTCTCCTAAGAATGTGGCATTCTTTTTTTTAAACAGTGTTTATTCATACTGTCAGAAAGTTACCACTAATTCAGTATCTAATCTATAGCTCATAGACCACTTTTACCAGCTGACACCACTGGGATTAAACTCTAAGGAATCTATTGGAGGCCCTAGGTGGGATTTTCTGAGGAATATAGACATGGCTTCGGCTGAGTTACACTCATCCACTTTTATGTGAGGTTTAAGTTGAATCCTTCATCAGTGGTTCAAACATGCTTTGGCAGGAGATGACTTTTTAGAGTGAGAAGTGGAAGGCTCACTTAAATGTAGGGTAAGGCGTTTTTTTTTTTTTTCTCCTGGGATGTACCCACCAGGTGTTATAGCCTCAACCTTATCTCAGCTAGCCTTTCTGACTTTAGGCTTTTGGATGAAATTCCACACTCTTGTTTCCCACTGGCTAGGGTTTAAGAGACACAGAATAGATAAGAGCTGGAAATGCTGATCTCAGATAGAAAGGAACTCTTTCAACATTTGAATGCATACCAGGTCTGTACATGGTATAAACTACCTTATAAGCCTGGCTTTTAAGGCTGAGAAGGTTGCTTAGTGGGTAAAGCACCTGCCATGTGACTCTGAGACTGGATTTCAGATCCCCAGAACCCGTGTAAATCCTGGGGAAGTATGGTGGAGTACCTACAACCCCAGATCCCAGTAAACATGGGAGGTGGAGATAGGACCCCTGTAGCAAGCTGGCCACCTGGATCAGCCAACTCTAGCTAGATTAGGTAGACTTACTTAAACTCTGGGTTCAAGTGAATGATCTCATCTTAATATATAAGGTGCAGATAAATGGAGGAAGACTCTAGACATCAACCTTTGGCTTCTACATGCAAGTGCATCTGCATATATACAATTGCCATATACACAGACATATATACACATATGCACACGGATCACATACACATGCAAAAAAACAAAGCAAAACATCTCCTCCCTTAAAATGTCTTTTATTTATGAAGATAAATTCACAATTATTGTCCAGTTTCTTTTCCCAATTCTATCTGAGAGCCAACTGGCTAGTGGAACCAGCCAAAAAAGGCTTTGAAATAATTTCTTAGCACTCAATTCCAGAGTCCTAGGAACCATCCCTTGAGGAAACTAGTGCTTGATGTTCTTGCTAATGCAGCTAAAGAGGAGGAAGTGACCAGCAGAAGACCTATGGTGGCCACCAGTGTCTCCATAATTCTGAAACACTCATACACAGTCACTACGCTGTCAACGTTGCTGCTCTGGCTAGAATGCTGGATTGTGTCTTCAATCAAAGCCCATAATAGGATGAAAGCTATTGGAGTAAAAAAGAAGCTCATCCACAAGACATTTGGTAATGAGGTGTCTGGTGAACCCACAGCTTATGACATAGATGTTTGGGGCAAGCCTCTTAGAAATAAATCACCAAATTTTCTTTATAACGTACAATGGCACCAAATTTTCTTTAAAATAGAAAATAAAGAATCTCTTAAATATTCTAGAATGCCTTTTATGTTCTGGGAATTATTTGAGGTCTCTTTGATAATGCCCTAACTCTGTTCAGAACTACCCTTGTTCCTCTTTGTTCCCATCCATAATCTATGTTCTTTTTGGAAACCAAGAGGTAGGAGCTGAGGGTGGAGAAAGGCACAGAGGCAGCAGGACACAGGTCAGAGGCTGCATTGAGGTGGACAGGCTGAAATACCCCATAGTAGTAATGAGAGCTTTGGAGCACAAACACATCAAGGGAGCTGTAGTTTCAGCAGCCCCCAAAGTCTTTATTGAATAAATGTCTTGGGCTCTCATTATTTTCACCTCTTTTATTCATTCAATATGTATCAAATAACTGGCATGCTGCTTAACCCTGGTCAGTCTCTGTCCTCCCTTCCATGTTCATTCTTTGCCTGTTCTGGGTTTGATGGTTCTGACTGCTAGGCTCTCTCACCTTCCAGAAGGTTGGCTTCTGAAGAGTCTAGCTTCTTGAGGTAGAGGTAGAGACATGCAGCATGAAGTAGAGGATGGGAAATGGGCACTCTAGGGCCTTCTTTTCTTCCACGTCTACCTTTGCTGTGACTTAGTTTTAGTGGTGGTGTGTCCCTCTAGCTACGTTATTCCTCTATGATTGTGCCTTATCACTGAGCCCCAGAGAAATTCATCCTTGCTTATTTCTTTTTGTGTCAATGAGACAGATGTCCTTATTCTCTCAGCCCTGCCCACAGGAACACCGCATAGCCTCATTGCTCTCTCTTAAAGGAATAGCTTATCTGTTACTGTATGATCCTGATAGAAACAGCATTCAGAAAGGTTCCTTCTGTTTCTATTTCATGGAATAATTTGAGGAGTATTAGTGTTAGTTCTTCATTGAAGGTCAGGTAGAATTTTGCACTGAATCCATTTGGCATTGGACTTTCTTTACTTTGAAGATTTTTAATTACTCTTGTATTTCACAAGGGTTATGGGTCCGTTTAAGTTTCTTTATTCATTTTGATTTAACTTTGGCACGTCATGCACATGCATGCTCATTTTTGTAGGTTCTCTAGATTTCACATTATACTTCAGAACTACAGCAATAAAAATAGCATAGCATTGGCATAAAACCAGAGATGTTGATAAATAAAATAGAATTTGAGATGCAGATATAAATAATCCACACACCATGAAAACCTTTTCTTCTCCTCTCTCCCTGTCTCTCTGTCTCTGTTTCTGTCCCTGCCTCTGTCTCTGTCTCTGTCTCTCTATCTCTCTGTCTCTCTGTCTCCCTCTCCATCTCCTTCTCCCCCTCCCCCTCCCCCCTTTTACAAAGAAGCCAAAAAACACACACTGGAGAAGCTGCACGCAGAAGATAAAAATAGACCTATATCTATTTCCCTGCACAAAACTCAGCTCCAAATGGATCAAAGACCTCAACATAAGACCAAATACACTGAATACAGCAGAAGAGAAAGTAAGGAATAGGCTTGAACTCATTGACACAGGAAAGGACTTTCTGAACAGGCTACGGATAGAACAGGGATTAAAACTAGCAGTTAATAGGTGGAACTTCATGAAGTTAAAAGATTTTACACACTAGACAACATCATTTGAGCAAAGCAGCAGCTACAGAATGGGGAAAAATCTTTACTAAATATCCATTTCACAGAGGATAAGTGTCTAGAATATACAAAGAACTAAAAAAAAACCTCTCAACATTAATAAAGCAAATAACCAAATTAAAACATGGGATACAGAAATAGTTACCAAAAGATAATGCACAAATGAATAAGAACCGAGAGTGTCCAATGTATTTCATCACTATGGAAATGAAGATTAAAACTTCGTTGAGAATTCATCATACTCCAGTCAAGATGGCCAAGATAAATAAAATAAATGGCAGCAGATGCTGGCCAGGTTATGGAGAAAGAGGAACACTTATTCATTGTGGTGGGAGTGCAAATTTATATAGCTACTATGGAAATCAGTATGGAGAGTCCTCCGAAAGCTGAAAATTGATCTATCTCAAGATCCAGCTATAAAACTCTCGGGCATATACACAAGGGGAACATACACAAGAGCCACCTGCTCATCCATGTTCATAGCTGCTCTATACATAACAGCCAGAAATTGGAAACAGCCTTGAAGTCCGTCACCTGGTAAATGGATAATGTAAATGAGGCACATTTATACAATGACATATTATTTGGCTTTTGAGAAAAATGAAATTATCAAATCTGTAGGTAAATGGATGGCCCTAGAAACAATCATCCAGAGTTATGTAACTGAGACCCAGAAAGACAAATGTTTTCTCTCATATGCCAATATTAGCTTTTATATATGCGTGTTTCAATCAGAATAACCACCAAGGTTAAACAGAAAGCAGGGCACTAGGATGAAGGGGAGGCGATCTTCAGGGACCAAGGATGGGTAATAACTATATTGTTACCACACGGTAAAGAGGAAGTTAGAATAGGAGGGTTAAATGGGAAGGGTGATAGGTGCACAAGGTAGAGAAGGGAACAGGGACAACTTACACTGAAGGTCTTTTGAAAAACCACAGAGAAATCTATTCCTGTAGACACTTCCTAAAATATATGCATGCATAAATTGAATTTAAATGGAGTTACCATAGAGTGTGGGAGACAATGTCCCAACTGGACATCATACACTACCATGACACTCACATGGTTATATCTTTTTGAGCCATTGGCCAAACAGTCCCACAGACCACCCTCAAACATTACAAACTATTGTCAATGATACTGATTACCTTCCACAACATGATGTTAAGAGATTATTACTGAAGATACCACACGCTTATGCTGTTGAACATGGGGAAATCAAGGTGGTGCCCAAATAGAAGTTTAACCTCTTACAACTAGCATTCATAGTGTTGGATGATAGCATACATGCTGCTGGAGAGGAAAAGCAATTTTCAGTCTTACCCAAAGCTCCCTGAGAGCTTTAGTAGCATACTGTCTGCAAGATACACTCGCTGGTGCCATAGTAACATAGATGTTATTGGAGTAACCGACCACCTTTTGATAAGGTATATGGGCTACTCTGTGAGATGGAACACATGGCACTGTTAATGAGGTTCAGAAGCTGCGACTAGATGCTACACTTGATCATAGCCAAAAGGTGGAGAAGCGATATCTGTGACTAGATGATGGGTCTAGGGGAAACCTAAATGA